GCCCATCAACCCGGAGTCCTACTGCTAGTGCCTGGCATTCGAGGGACCTGGACCTGGACTCTCTTAAGTGTACTTGGCCCAGCTTTTGGTTGCAACTGGAGGACATGGTGTCCCGGCAGCGAGGAAGTCAAGACCTGAACGAGATGCGTAAGAAACTGCATGTCCACCAAAACCGAACGTTGAAAGCCCCAAGGTTTAGGATGAGAAATGCATTCCCGTCGTACCGGGAGAGCTTACCCGAATTTAGGGTGCTGAGCAAATAGCCATACCGCTAAATAGAGGTTTGCAGAAAAACCTATGAGGGTTCATCGTGCCTCCTGTACTCTCACTAGAATGCTTCCTACGCAACAGGTTGTGGCCATTTGAAGGCATCCAGAGAAGTAAGGTCGTAAAAACCAGCCAATCAAGCTCAGGCGTCTACAAATGATGGGCAACAAAAATTTGAAGATGAGCCATGGGGTTGCACTGATTGTTGGGGCTCTTAGGCTCCTAGGCTTAGAGCTTCATCACCTTACAATCACAAAGCCCAAAACTCAAAAATCCTAAACCCCATACACTCAAAACCCTTACCCTGAAGGATAAAAGACTCCTCAGCATCATGGGGGATACGGTGAACACATGGTGAGCTTCCCACTTGTCTAGATTCCATCCCAAGGTGAATCCTCAACCCCAGACCCTAATCCTTGAACAAACCCTGGATCCTTCTTCTTGTCTTTCTTCTCCTGGTGCGGTGTAAATCTTCAGCATTTGGGGAACCAGAAGTCGTGCGGACTTTGTTTTTGCAATGCTGCCAGGTTACGGGATCATAACGTCTGTGCGGGGTATGCAAAGGCAATCCCTTTGTATTGACAAACTCCCGATTAGCTATGTCCAAGAATGAGGTGCTCCAGCAGGTACTGTATGGGGTAGGGGCCTAGGGTTGGAGATTTAAGACTCAGGGCCTAGCTAACGGATTCAGAGTCCGGAGGCTCAGGCAGGTATCCCATGGACTTGTGTCCTCCCGCCAAAGAAGTTGCCACATGCTTTCCAAACTCATGTGCTTAGGCTGCCTCGGCAGAATTCAAGTTTGAGTTCGGAAGTCTCAGGTCTCCACCTACAAAAGGGTTTCAAAGAGGGTTCCACACTCTTACTCACAAACGTTCAACAACAAGCAAAATACGACAGCACCTACTGGATGCGTGCGCCTTCTTCGCTTTGTCCTTGTCCTTTTTGTCCTTCTTGTCCTTGTCCTTCCCAAGCCCCGAAAACTACAACGGAACTCAGAAAACCTGCGTTGTTTGCTGGATCTAGCTTGGAAAACTAGAGCTTCTGAAAATTAGTTCTCCAGAACCCTTGCCTTGTTTCTCATCTCTTTCAAATTCGACCATCCCTGATGCTGCGCTTCTTCTATAAGGATAGCGACAGCTGTTTTGAATATATGTGACAGTCAAACATCCATAGAAGTGCCGAGACCGCAGAGCTCAATACCAGTAAGGCTTGGGTGCGCATCAGTCTCGCTGCATCTACCTTGTATTGCTACCGCTGTCGCTCATCATGCAACAGCGCTATCGTACTTTCTCATTCTTGCAATTGAGGCTCTGTCCATCGTGACCGTTATGATTCTCAGTCTTGTGTTAGTTTGGACACGTGCAGCTCATGAAATGCGCATTTCCCTAAAATGTGGTTCTGAAATTTGGCGAACGCTTGGGGACCTTTGGAGCACACAGTCATGTTGGGCGGATTACACGCGTCCGTCTGAAAAATATCGAGGAACACTTCTGAAACACCCCCCAGAGAACTCTACAAAAGGCTTTGACTTTTGGAAGGCTGAGTTGCATCGAGGAGGACGCCTTCTGAAGCCAGAACCCGGATTTAGGATTTAAGGTAACATCCTAGTTGCTAGGGATTTCGTCCATCAACCGCAAGATTCCTCCTTGTCCTGGGGACACCATTAAACGTGGTTACAAAGTACCATTCTTTGACCCTGAACCCTGCCAAAAATGTCTGAAAACCGACATGGTTGGATTGTATTGGCGTCATAGTAACATAGAATCAGCACCCCTCTGCAACGAGCATTTCTGTATATGCTGTCCATGTTTGCTTGTCCACCTTGATCAAATCTGTTGTAGTCCATCTGCTCGTCTGCTCATAGGAAAACAGAATTGTCGTAGCGTAGCATACTTGGCGGTCTCTTTGACATTCAGGAGAAGGCGGGGGCCTTCTGTGTTACCAAGAACAACAGATACTCTGAGATCATCTTGAACAACGTCACCTGAGGCTTTCCCATACTCTTCAATGGAATCCTCAAACTTTAGGATGTTCTCAGGTGTTGTCTTCTTGGAGTCTAACCTTGTGCGAAGAATGTTGGAGAGTAGCTGCAGTCTCCTTGCACGAGTATGAGGAAGGTGCCCTTCAAGAAGTAGCAAGACACCCAAACCCTGATCCATGAAAGCGATATTTGTCAGACCTTGCCCTGGATCACCTTCTGCGCCCATTCCTAGAGCTTGACCAGGAATTCGGGACAAGGTTTGGGGAATTACAACTTGGATTTCGCCTCTGAAGCTCATGCTGCTCTGGGTTTTAGGGTCTGCGCTGCCGAGTTTGATTTGAAAGGTTAGTCTGCAGGGGTTGGTGGTGTATGCTTCAGGGTGTCAGCCAATGTTCAGAGTTTTTCCCTGAGAAGGGTTCGGAAGCGTCCCAGGGCATCAAGCATTGGGCATATGGACTACGGCCATAACACTGTCCAGAGCCATATACCTACCACAAAGTTACGTTCTGGTAGAGGCTATTAAGCTTCTACAATACTCACGTGGGCAGGTTGCTTTGGGTGTATTGCTGTTCAGCTTCTTGCAAGGCACAATGTATGAAACGTTTACGGAACTAGGGTCTGGTCTTGTCATCCTTCCGATTCTTCCAGGAAAAGGATGCTCGCATTCAGTTGGCTGCTGCAAGTGCCGTGAGACATTCCAGACAAGCACGGCATAACCATTATGCAGACCTAACTTGGCCGGTTCCTGCATGCGCCAACAGAACATAGTGCCCATGACAAAGACGCCATCACGGGGCCCACGAAAAGAGCGATTGGCCTTATAGGTATGCTACTCATCCTGAGTTCTGACACTCAGACATGTTAAACTCAAAATCCTCAACGCACGTTGCCTTAGCCAGTACCTGGCGTGCATCAAAATCTGGTTGCACCTACTTGCCAAAAGCGACATAATTCGCTTCATAGAACCTTGCAAATATACCATAAATTTCACAAAGCTCCATAAGAACGACGTTGGGTAGAAAAGTTATGCTTGGATCCTGAAACTTGAGGCCCTAGAACCGTAATCCCACACGCTGCTACGGCGAAGGGAGGCACCCACCCCGCACACCACTCTGGAGGGAAACGTTCGACAAGCCCAGGGCTCCGTGTTGATGGCACCTGGTAGGTGCTGCTCCAGGAATGTAACCATGAGCTCCTACACTGGCTGGAGGTCTGGAGCTGAGGGAGTGAAGCGCAAACTAGTGATAAACTCATTTACAGTTTTCCTAGTTTTGAATTGAATTCCGGAAGCATAGTTTTCTCTCATAAACCCTAGTATCTAAGGTTGAGGGACTGCCTTGTAGCTTCAAGTGGCGATAGGCCACTTGATACACTCATTCGAATCCAGTGAATGATACTGAGAGAATCCAATGTGGCGTTTCCTGAAAATGACCCATGCAGTATCCTGAAAAGGGAGCCCGAGAATCCCCTCCCTCCACACCCCATGGTTCCCACAGTGGACGGAGGAAAACTCACACCACATTTTCCATGCACTCCCGCATACTGGAAATCCGAAGTGGTGCAACATCTTGTCTAAGAACTTAGAATTGGTCAGAAACTCGCGTGCGGCTGGCTTAGTTGGACATAGGGCAAAGGATGTGGGAGGTTCTTAGAAAGGGGGTCCAGCATGATGTTTCAAATGAACAGCCAGGCACTGTCGCTGTATTCTACTTCAGGATCTTTGGGTGTCAGGGTCGGCAAGGGGGCTTGGAGCCTCACAGTTCTGAGTTTAGGGTTCATACACGTGCTTACATATCAGCGGGGTTCAGAATGCAGGTCTGTTCATGACTTCATTGCCTGGGAGAGGCTTGAAGCACCATAATTAGGCTCCGGCAGTCACCAATTGCAATTTAGCGGCCCCCTAAACAAACCCCTACACCACCTCGAAGCAAAAACCAAAACCCCAGACACTGCTACTAAACACCGCTAAGCCCTCAGAAACCCTCCAAAACATTCAAAAACCCTCCGAAACCCTGCTCCCAAAAAGAGGTCCCGCGAAGCATTTTGAAGCGCAGCTTCGGGTCTGAGCCCACGGAAGTGGCAGAATTCCTCTTAAGGCTTTAGAGGCTTAGGGGTTTGGAGTGGCTGTTTGGGTATGGGGTTTAGGGTTCGGGTTCAGGGGTTCAGGACTTAGGGGTTTGGTCCAAGGGTTTAGAGATTGGGTTGGGGGGCTGAGGGTTCGGATTTTTGGCTAGGCTTCAGGTGTGACCTCAGAAGTGACACATGGCTTTGAACTTAAGGACATGGGGTCTGAGGTTTGCCACATGGGCCTAGGCTCCAAGGCTTTAATTTTGTGCAAGCCTCGGCCACACCTGACCCGTAAACAACTTTGGTCACGCAACCACCTGCTCCAGTGCCATTTAAAACTGAGGTCATCAGAATACAAGTGTGGTGCTAAACCTCTTCGTTTTACTCTCACTGCAACTAGCCTCTTTACCATAAACACCACTATAATGTTCTACATGTCTGTACTGCCCCAAAGTAATATGGCCCCGGAACTGGCTTTCAACACCAAGCTTCAAAACCCGGAACCCTGAAGCTCTGAACAACTTCAACACCGAAGCTTGCTGAATATGCTGAATTACATGTAGCTGAGAGCCCAGCCGTTGTTATTGCCATGAAGCTGCAAGGCCCCCAAAGAACACATCAACTCTCAACCTTCCTAAGCCTGAAACCCCGGACATCCTGGTCGTTAATCCTTTTCAACCCGAAACTACATGTCAGCGGCCTGAAAGGCAACCGCCCAGCCGCGCTCGTGCTTGAGGCCCTTGATGAGAAGCTTTCGCAGCTTTACTTCGTCCTCGAAAGGGTCTCAAAGTTGCTTAAGGATTCTGTAGGGCTTGGTCAAGCAGGGGTCAGGGTTGATTAGTCTAGGGCCCTGAATGGCCAGGACAACTTCTTGCCGTGCACTGTAGAAACCCTTGCTCTTACAATTCTTCCAGATGATTGCTGCCTAGTGTCGGACATTGGTTGTTATTATTGTTGCGCTTGCTAGACTCTACAAATAGCAGCAGCGGTGGAAGCAAGAGTAGCACAACGAATGTGCCTGCCGTCCTTAGTTGTTTGCTAGTGTCCCTGCTTTTGAGCGCATGTTCCCCGTCTCGTTTGGTATACAATACCTCTGACTGTGAAGGTGATCAACGGCTTCGTTGAAATCACTGTGATTGAGAATATTTCATTGCAGCGTCCGCGTGGCACTGTACTTGTTGTTTGGCAACCTAGCACATCAACTCCGGAACGAAACAAGATGGAAAGCAAAAGTGGCAAAAGATGTTACGTAGAACAAACGCCTCCCAAACACGCACATGGAGCAATCGAACAAATTCTGCACATGTGGGAACAAACATGCTCAATCACAGCATATTTAGGTAGTTGGGACAAGTGGCACGCATGCATGAAAGAACATCGAAACAGTGGTAGGTCAAGGCCCGCATTTGCTTGACCAAGTCGGGCATCAAATATGTGCTAGTAGAGAAGCATAGGAGGTGCGAACAACCTCAGCAGGAACAAGTCAACAACAACATCAATAGCAGCAGGTTCTTTTCAAAAACAGCACAATTTAGGATTGGGGCTGGCATCCACAATGTTCGGAGCAGTTTGAAAAAATAGCAAGAAAGCGGCAGTACTGGTATTCATCACGGGCATGTCAAGGGGATCACACGGTGGTATGAACATACGTGACCCGTTTTACGGACTCTGCTTGGGGATGCCTTCAGCCAATTGAAACATCCAAAGCCCTTTGCCCGAAAATAAGCACAAGCCTTCCTTCATCTTCCATTAAAAATAGCAATGCTACGATGCGCGTTTCCTTGGATTGCCCTAACACAAGCCTAAAGTTTCAAATCTATATGTACCATTCTGTACCCGAAAGGGTTCCCAGAATCCCGAAAAAAAAACGGGGTAAGGGGCCCAAACTCGCGCGCATGGCTTGGACACTGGACCTGTTGTCCTCGTCGTCGATCTGCCGTCGCAGCACCTCGAGACTTGCGATGTAAGGGTTGAGGGCTTTAGGTTCGGGAAGGGGGGAGTTTAAGGTTTTTATGGTTTGCGCTTTCCAGTCTTGGGTTAAGAGATTCTTCGGATGGGGGACGCACGCCCAGAACTGTGCACGGATGACAAACGGCTTTCCACGGCCACATGGGCCCTCTACGTGGCCTCTGCAAATCTAGGAGCTTCCAAAAACTCAATCGGTTGGAAGAATTCTTTTTTGAAGGTGCCCATTTTGGTACAAAGGAAGGCACGATGAACATCTGAGGTAGCGTTTTGGGAGAGCAGGACTTTGGGGCCTTGGTCCATGCACATGCCACCCCAGATAAACATGGAAACGGTCTGAAAGAGGCTAAGGTTCTGCTTGAATGTTGGCAGCAGCTTAGTGGCTAGACTCCTCCTTACACCCAACAATCAACTAAGGAGAGGATTTGGGTAACCTCAGCGCCAAAAATAGGAACATATATTGAAAACATAAAACGACTACCGAGGCCTGATTTTCAGGCGGTAACTTACCAAAAAAACTATCACCATTGTTTTGCACACTCCCTGTCTAGCCCATATAAATCCATTTTCCGTTTCATTGTGTGCTTTCCGTCTATCCTCCACTATGAGTCCACCCCTGAGCGTCAATCATGAGCGTGCCTGCTTGGCAACATCAGCTGCCCGAGTCGCAGCCTGCTTGATGACAGTGTACATGAGGGATTCCAAGCACAGCTGTAATGTCTCGGATTTAGCGAGGATCCAATTTTGGGAGTCCCTGCAAGACCCTTTGTATGCCGGGATGATTAAATGCACGCCTTGGTTCAACAGGATGAGGAGCCATGGATCGGGACCCCAGGGCTAAGTGGAGATGAACCTTGAAATGCCAACCTGATAATAATGGACCCCCAACCAGAGTGAAAAAAACTCTCTGTTGCAGGAAAACCTTCTATCACATACGGTTTAGGGGCTAGGGTTTAGGGTTTACGCACTACCTCGCACGCCTTACTTTGCAGGAAGTACAATACAATACTGTACTCGGCAGACTCTGTCCAGGATTTCCTCGCAGACCCTCAACCCTGGACCCTAAACCGTCAACCCTGAGCCCTAGACCCTGAAAACTGCTCCTTTAGCTCTAGACCCTAAATTCTGAACCCCAAGCCCCTGACTCCAGACCTTAAACTCCATGATAAAACTGCGGCCTCAACTCGCTTGGACATCAACACCTGGTTGCTTAGAGCTTAGGGTGTAGGGTTTCAAGGAGTTTGCGGTACAAGGTTTAGGGTTCAAGGCTTGTCGTGAAGGTTCAAGGCAATTATAAGGATTGTTTGTAGCGCATTGACACAGACTACCAAGGACGTTGAAGATTGGGAATCAGAAACATATCCGATGGTGGAAGGGGGTTCATATGGGAGGAAGCGATTATCAAAATTGGTGAGATATATAAAGATGTAGGCAGATTCTGGGTAATACTAAGTGGGGCTTTAAAATCTGATGGGCTTGAGGAACTGGCTTGCTAGAACTGGGGCCGTAAGCAGGACAAATCGAATCTCAAGGGTCCTTGAAGTTGGGAACGCTTTCTTGGGGTTACCGTTCACAAGGATCATGGCAAGGCCGTCGCAGAGTTCTTCTCCTCCCTCGGAATCACATATGACAGCTATGTGCAGCCTTCCCGGGCGGTGTGCAACTGTCTTTGGACCTCTGGAAAACATCTTTTTTTTCTTCAGACCTTTAGAAAAATTCTTCGGACCAAATGCCCTGGCCATTCCTGCTTGTCTCGCTTGAGCGCATTTCCCTGCACCAGGTTTGCCAAGGCACGGGGTCATTCTTCAGGAATAGCTAGACACTTGCTCTATGTCACTGAATCTCAAAGACACCCCTCTCCCAAAACACGAAACATGCCACCCCAGCATGCTATTCAGGCGATCACCATGAATACTCCACTTCGGGGGTGGAGGGGTGTTTGACATTCGGGGCCAGGGATTGGAGAGAGCGATATGGGAGGACGCCAGCTTGTGATTCTCCAGCATCCCACTTTGCACCCAAGAATTGGTACCAGTTGGATAACAGCGAGGGTTTAAGCACAAAACTTCGAGAACACAACCGTATCGAAGCCCTGGATCATCTAGCACACTACAAAACCAGGCCTGTGTGAACCCCCACACATGCTGTATGAATGCCTGTATGAATGCCAACAACCCTTGAGGTTCCCCCTTTCTCGAGCAATTGCTCTCTGGCTCCGGAGCCTGACCGCGACACCTTGACCCCTCAAGCTCAAACCTGAACTACAAACCCCACGGAACACGAGCCTTGCAAGTTACATCTTCAAACCTAACGCGGCACTTCAATCTCTAGATCCTGAATGTACAGCAAAACCTGAACACTGAACTCGAATATCTTGAGCCTCGAACTTTGAATCCCTAAACCATAAGCCCTCAAACCTCAACCTCAAACGCGAAGCCCTAATCCCTAAACCCTTAACCGTAAATCCAAACAAACCCAAGTACCGAAACCTCAGCCCTAAATGTGGATCTTGAACCTCAACTCTCAACGTGAGTCCCTCAACCCTGAGCCTTACACCTGAAAACCTAAATCCTGAAGCCCTGGATCCGAATCCCTGACTCCCTCTAACTCTAATCCCTGAACCGTAAAACTGTAACCCCTAATCCTTGAACCGACAAGCCTATGAACCCCAAAACCCAAAACCTTAAATCTCCAAGTCCTGCTGAGTCCTACTGAGTCCTACTGCAATCCAACAGCCCCAGCGCTCCAGGCCTGTGGATCGGGCTTTGGCAAGCTGATCACTACAGGCACCACTGGACGACCGAGGCCGAAAGGCAAGATGCCCTTCTGTGCTCCTCCACGGCTCAGGATTTCAGGGCTTCGGTTTAGGGGTCGAGGCTTGAAGATTTATTGATGTGGGTGCTTCCAAAAGACTAGGGTCCCTGTTTGGGTCCCCCCAAAAAAGGATTGTCGTATCTTGGGGTCTACATTTGGGGCCGGACCCTGTTTCCATAACCGCCATTTAGGGTTTCGAGCTCAGAAGGTGGCGTTTAGGGTGTTTGAATCCAAAATCCTCGGCCTCAGGTGGTCCCTGGAGATAGAAGGGGCATGCTGCACTCAACTAAAAAGATTGTGTCATTGTAGCCAGCTGACAAAGTCGGGTGGTTTGGGTTTGGGGGGACTCATTTAGGTGGGCCCACCACCCTTGTCAATCATGAAACGCTGCCATCACAGTGTTGCGAGCAATAGTGCTTCGTCAAAACGAACACCTCCCCGAAGGATTGAGACTGCAACCGAAGGCTTTTTCATTCACACAAAGTAGGATCTAGAAGAAGCCGGCTTTCGGAAGGCATTACCAACGCTAAGGTTTCCCGCGGGGATCTGCGTATCTATGCAAAGTGCCATGTCTTGACTATCACCAGCACATCATCGGACAAGGCTTTGAGGCGCGCCGGTCCGAAATCTTGCATTGTGTATCACAAAAGACCGTCCCCCCTTTAGCAAGGGCTCTACAAGTTTTGGGCTTCAGTGTACGTTTTGGGTTTTGTGTAGGCACTTATTCAAAGCCGAGGGCAGCCTGCTAGAGGAGGATGCGGCGTGCATGGGGATACGTGGGACAACCCTAATCCCAAACACTACTGTAAACCCCCTATCCTAATCCAACAGCCCTAAACCACAAACTCCAGTCCTGAAGCTCCATGCCCTGAAGCCGAAACCCTAATCCAAAAGCCGTCAACCCTACACCCACCCCTAAACCTACTCACTGGGCCCTAGACCTCTTGCGTCTGAGATTCAGACCATCCGACTAGTTTCAAATCTTATGCGTCTTAGGGTTTCAGAGCTTCGGCGCTAGGGCCGCTAACTTACCTTCACCTGGAGGCTTTGGCGTTTCGGCACTGAGGTCTGGAATGCAAGGATTCTGGCCATAAGTCCCCAACCCCTAGTGATACAAAAGAATGGTCTTGAATTGGGATGTTCATCATTAGGAGGTGGTGGGCTTGTTGTCAGGGGGAAGGGAAGCCACAATTGAGCCCCCTTTAAACAACTCCATTGCTTTTGCAGAAGCATGGGAATGCTGACCATGCTCAGACCTGCCCTATCACCCTATACTTTACCTGCAATCTCACATATAGCTACCCACACGGTTGGGAAGCTCCCTCATGTTCATTCAATCCCTGCACAAGTTCCTAGCCCAAATCCTACACCGCAAAGCCAAATCTTGAACCCCTGAACCGCCTGAGGCGTCACTACCCTGAACACTACAGCACAAATCTTACGTAAACCCTATGGCCCAGCCACCTGGCCCCGACGTCTTCGCCCCAGGCGCTGCAGTCTGCCTTAGCCATTTAGGGTTCAAGGTTTAGGGCTAAAGCCTTTTAGGGCTTTAGGGCATGAACTTGCGGGTTTGGGTGTTAGCTGTGGGGACAAAGGAGATGAGGCTTTGGAATTTTGCTTTTCTCAAAGACCTGAGTTACGGCTGAAGCCTTTCCTTCAGGCGCTTGCTATTGTGGTTCCTCAAGTCCATAAGCCCAAAAAATGAAGCAGCACACAAAACTTTAGCCAAAGGGCACACGTAGGGATCCTTGACCACAAGAAATCGAAATCAACATGTATACCACAGTACAGCCAACCTGCTGCAAGCTCTGCGCGATCCGCGCAACCTCAGTGGACTGCCCAAGTGACTTGGAGGTTTGGCGGTAGTTCTTCGCAGGGAGCACAACTAAGGCGTGGAGTTTGAGGCTCAGGGCTTAGTGCCTGCGCTCAAGATGTAGGATTCGGACGAGAGTACTTTAGGTGTTGGGTTTCAAGCGCAGTGATGACTAAGATCTTCAACTGCCTCACCCTGAACCTTAATCCGAAGTTGCAATCCGAAAGCTCCTCAACGCCTTCAACTGGAAAACCCATGGGCCATACACTAAAGGTCGTCAGAACCGCAAGCACCGCAGAGCCCAGCTTCATCGATGCAACCAACAAAACGGCCCACAACTGCTTCAGGATGACCCGTGCCCGAAGTAGGAAGCCTCTATCAACAAGACATAGCAAGGCACTACACATCAGAGAATTTGAAGGTAAGGGCCCTATGACTGTCACTTGACTCTTGTCGGGTGCGTATTATAAGAGCGGGGTTATCTGAGGCCTCCTAGTCGACCTTTGACAATGAAACTCCAGGCTTACAGGGGGCCTCTTTTCTTCGGAAAATCCAAGTCATACTTTAATCCATGGAATACTGTGGAAAGTCGGGGCCGCTCTTGTGGGGTTCGCCTTCATTCTTACACGAGAGGAAGGTACCAAGGCCCAAAACATGACGAGAGTCACGAGAACGGCGACCATGACCCAACTAATCCTTGTGACTGTTGGCACTGTCGGCACGCGAGAAGATGCGAAGCCCAAAAAATGACTTTGTACGATGACCGGAAACAAAGATGTGAGGGTCCAAAAACGACAACACTTCCGGAAAACCACAACTTGCGCAGTCCCTGTTAACCACGGAAAGACAACAAAACATCAGGGCAACTTTGAGCCATCCAACGGAATGTATCACATCCGGACCGGCAAGTCATGAGTCTTTCAGCGCGGTGCATCTGAGTTCGTGCTTCGCAAATGCCAGGGAGTTCAACCCCGAATGCCCCAGACAGCTGTGCGAAACGCACTAGAAAAGCCAACCCCACCCCTCACTAGCTGCTACCCAGCAGGACCTCATAGGCAGCATGTGAATCTTGAGATGGCTCCATCTTCATAAATTTGTTGCACATGGGGACACCCCGCCCCCTAATTCCTCCGCTGGTCTACGCAAGACAGGCAAAAACAAACAAACATACAGACATACAGACATACAGACATACAGACAGACATACATACATACAGACAGACAGACGTACGTTCGCACGTACATAGCACGTAAGAATATCATTACATCACATCACGGAACATTGCATGGCGTGCACAACATACAGTACCATACGGCACCATACAATACCGTACCGTACAATACCATACCATGCATGCCATACATGCGTACATAGATGCCTTCGCAAAACTGTGTGAATGGCAGGCAATTACATACCAAAGCACATCATTCTCTGCTATGTAGCAAAAACTCACGAGCAAAGCACCAGGAAAACGGCGCTGCTAAGCCTATATGGCGCAGAATATTTCGAGGAAATACAGATGGGAACGGCATCGAGGAATTGCACGTGCAAGTTGAAGCATCCAGCGCGTTCAACGAGTTGCAGTCTTTGCGTCTCACGGTATTCGGGGCCTAACGGGTTGCCAGAGCTGCAATTCACAGCAGCTTGCATAGAAAACGACGGAGTAGGGGACCTCAACCCTCCTCAACAGCAATATGCTTTGTTACGTAACTGATGAAGCAGCGGGGGCGACCCCTCGCATTTGCAAAGCAAGGACAACAGATGACCCCAGGAGCGAGGACTATAGAGGACCAAGGGACCAGGAGACCAGGGACAAGCGGACTGGGGGGGCCCACCTTACCCCAAAACCCCTCTACTCTGGAACCCTCGGTGCCCGTAACCCCTACCCCAACACCACAGCCTTGTCAACCCCTACACCGCCTACACCCCCCGAAAAACCTCGTACTCCACCTGCACTCCTGAGTTGAGCCCCTAGACCCCAAACCCTGAACCCAAAATGCTGAACCTTAAAACTTGAACCCTACTTAACCCTTTTCTCCTACACCCTAAGCCCTTTGACGGATTCACGACCATCTCAGCAGCTGAGGAGGTATCGACCGCCGGCAGGGCAGCTGCGCCTTGCACGTTTGGGTCTTGGAGGCCCCCACCCAGTAATAGCAATAAAGTAGGAATATGAATAGACAAGGATCCCGAGCCATTACCCAACTGGTCGCTTTAAGTGGCGGGTGCCTAACCGGCGCTTTAACGCACAAGTTTTGGTGGTTTGAGTGGTTTGGGCTCGGACTTTGAGAATGCAGGCTCAGGGTTCTAGTTTGACTTTCTCGGTGGCCGTAGAAGCACTAGATGGGATTGACACGCAAAGTCCCTGCCTCGATTTCGGGTTCGGGGAGGCCCACAAGGTGTGCGTGTGTGTTCACCCTGTGGCCAATTCTAAGGGTTTCGCGCCTTCTACTCAAGTACGTTAATGCAGTGGGACAGAGGCGGTGCGGGCGGGCACTGTCCAACGAAGCTCCCCCCCCACACTACAGGCAAACGTACCTGTACCTGCTTACCTGTCCCCGCCATGAGGATTTGGGGGCGGCGTGCCAGCTCGTGGTCATGGTGAGGGGGTCCCCTTCCCCTAGCCCTACCGCAAAGGTCCCTTTATAGTCCTCCTTAAGACGATGACGCGGAGGACGCTGACGACGAAGACAATATTCCTCCTAAGGGCTTACCTCCCCCTAAGGGCCCAAATCATGTTTTTTCCATGTTTTCCTTGCTTGTCCTTGTTATTCTTCCAGACAGGAGCTGCAGTCGTTCTATTCCTATCATTATACAATTATTACTAACAGGCGTCGAACCCCTTTATTTAAGTGCTCGACAAATTGATCGCTCGAATTCGCAAGGGCTAACACCCCCTTCTCCGTGTGCGTGTCCTCCTGGTACCGTTTACTGCTCCTTCCAAGCAGAATCCCGCCAATAAAAGAAATTGCTGCAAAGTCCCTCAACACGGGTCTTTTTGCCAACATGCTCCAGACGGTAACGGCCCAAAAAAACTTCTACTTTAGCTGGACATGCTGCATAAGCTCCAAGCGAAAGCCCGAAAGCAAGGATATCGGCCCCTCGGGATCCATCTTGGATGACTCCAGCTCCTGAACCTCTACCTGAAGTCCAATTTCTTGGATCCGGACGATTCTTGAAATGAAAGCGGCTCCCATTGGGTGATTGAACCCTTTTTCAAACACTTATGACCTGATGTAAAGGCGCAGTAATTCTAGCCTGAACCCATTTGAGAGGTTTAATGTAGGCATGATCCCTAGAAACCCCGTTTCAAGGGACCCCTTGCTTCCAGCATGCGGACGCCTGCAGGCGACTCCTCACTGGCCATGAGCCCTTCCTGAAAAGATTGTGAGGCTTGGTTTTGGTGGCTTGCTACCCAAATACCTATATTCATGGCCTGCAACCCAAAACAACGGGTATGTCGGCCATTATTATGTGTGATTGGGAGGTCCTAGGGCTTGCGGTTGTGGGATTGGGTTTTAGGAGGTGGCGGTAAGCCCCAAAAACGAAACCTGTAGCAGCAGACAGGGCCTACATAAGGCTGTGGAGGCCAAAAACAAAAGTACTTGGCGATGCACCCAGCTTCCTCTATCAAGAGGGACTTGATGGGCATGTACTTGATCAAGTCGCCGATGCCTAAGGCTCAGGAGCTGGATAAGCTGTCTTGAAGCGGCAGCGAAACAGGATTGAGTATTCTCGAACAAGTTGCCGATGAATTGTAATAGGCCGTGTCCGCCCACGCTGATAAGTGGCAAAAGGCGCTAGCAGGAGTGGCAGCAGTGCTGCTGCAATAGAAGAGGGAATTGCCGTTTGCAGTATTCCTACCGCTGTCACCGCCCCCGCCACCGCCACCACCACCCCCACCACCACACCCACCACCACCAACCCCCCATCACCCCAACCACCACCACCGCGATAGCTGGACTATTTGACAACTTGCGTGCCTAGTGTCATTGTCAGGAACGCTCCACGGAGTCTACCAAAACATGATACAACACTGCCAACTGGTCGCCGAATCGAGCTGTCTCACTTCTCTTTGACAACGCGCCCATAGAAGTTCAAAGCGGCGTACAGAATTTCTCCATGCAATGTGCTGTTGAAGTCTTGCGCTCTAGTGGCCAAGCTTCCACATGATCCAGACATCTGAGACTCAAGTAAATCAAAACCAAACGGCGGTAGACGTAGAGGGAGCCGCTCACCGTATGCAGCGTGACTTCCTTGCCACTGATCCGGTAGACTCCTGGCTACGCTCAAGAAGGGGAAGGTTTGAGAATGAAGTTTCCAATTCCTTCGGCATCCTGGTGGAAAAATATCGATTGCATAAGCTGCTGAAATTTGCGACAGATCTGATTATTTCTGAATACAAGGGTGCACGAGCTGTTCAAGGTGTGCTGAAGCCCAACCTCCAACTGGCGGAGCCAGTGATGTAACTCTCTGTGCAGCTTTCAGACAGGTGTCAAATGGAGTTTCTCAAAGCAGGACCTCGAGGACCCTGGTGATCGATAAGGAGTACAACACAAATTTATGGGTGAGTATGTAGGATTGATGCAATACGCGTATTCATTAGAGATGTCTCAATCTGAGGCTTGGGTCGTAGGGGATGATCCGATTTAAAACAAAGAAGGGGTGCTGACTGAACGAGTAGCCTTGTGAGATATGTGTAAATTAATGCAGATTAGCGTTCTGCAAACTGGTATGATCAGATGGGATTGGGGGCCGACTATAAGCCTCATCGAGTCTCATTTTGTGTGGGAAAGTTGGCAATGTGCTCTCACCGCATCGTGATGCTTCGAAGCTCCAGTTCAGAGGTGTTGCGGTCTTGAGAACTCGGCTTTTCAAGTTGAAGGCTTCGAGTCCAGGTGAATGCTCGTTGGCAAGCTGGTTGCAAGATGCTTCGTGGAGGACGTAGATACGTAAGTGCAAGCCCTTATGCCTTCCAAAAGCTAGAGCTGTTTCAAAAAGCTTCCACAATCAGAAAAGGGCCCGTGATTTTAAAACATCTCCTACAGAAGCTTACGCTGATGTAGTGCTTCCGGGCTTACATGGAAGCCCTAAACATCCCAATCATGGCCGTCATGGAGAATCATTATCAGACGAAATTTGGATTTGCGGCTCTGCGTGTAGAGGTGAAGCAGCAACAACACAGTTCAGGAAGCGACCGCCATCAAAAGTAGAGAGGGATTTCCGACAACAAACGCGCTCTCATGTACGCCCACATACCAGGACTCAATCAGAAAGACGCCACAAAAAAGAGACCCATGCGCTTGAGAAATCCCAAGCCCTGCAAACCTCAAGCCTACAAAATCAAGCTTGAAGCTTTGAATCCTACAAAAGACATAAAGGTAGATGGAAAGCCATATTATCTCAACCCTGAGGCCTAAACTGCAAACGCCAAACGATAAACTATGAACCCTACGCCCTACGCCCTAAAGAACTAGGCCTGGAACTCGAAGCCCTAGAAGTCCCAAATCCTTGCTTCTGAGGCCCGGGCCATGGCTCACCTTCTGCACCAAGTTTCGCATCTCAGGGCTCAGAGAAGCCAGAGCTTCGTTCCTGGGCACCCATCTTGACACCTTCCAAAAAATCATCCTTCCTAGCGAATTCGAGGCCCTCAGGCATGCCTTTACAGAGATATGTAAGGTTTCCGGCGTTTAGGGCTTCGGAATTTCTTACAAGGGGGGCGATAGAGCGGGATTACATACAGAAAGCTACTGACAGGAGAATTGTCAATGAACTTCCAGAGTCCCGGCTATGAGATCCTCCATGCAAAGACCGGTATAACGCAGAATGGGAAGCACTAAGGAGCGGGACATAAAATCCACGCACTCAATACTAAACGGGGAGGGTTCATCCACCGACGGTCTAGTTACGAAAACCCGGGGTGCCAAGATCCCTCAATCCAAATCCTAGACCCTCAATCCTGAACACAACTCCCCAAGCCTGTAAGAGCAAATCCCTCACACCTTGTGCTGCCAAAATTGTGGGCTCTTAAACCTTCAAACCTTCAAGCTCAAACCAACCGCCATCTCCGAAGAGTCCAAACAAATGGTGCCTCCTTACATTCTAGATCCTTGATCCTAAGGCCTCTCGCTTGAGAACAGTCCAAGACATGTACAAGGTACACATGCCTCTTCTTGGCATTTCTGCTTAAATTTGGTGACAACTGCGAGTGCCATACGTTACTGTCGGAGTCCATGTATCACTAGCTTAGTCATTGCACAACCAAGGTTCATTAGCAGGTCGATGAGGTTGTCGACGCCGCCTGAGACGTGAGACTGTTGAAGCTTTGTACTTAGGGTTGGGGGCTTCTACAGCGCTGCAACAACTTTATCGGGGATACTTGACGGTTAGGAGTTTAGCATAGTAATCTTCATGACTTCGACACTCATTGTAGAGGAGCTTCGGCGTATGCTTTGGTTTGAGTTCACAGTGATGGGTGGGCTGCAACTTTGCTGAACGGGAGCAATCAAAACTCCCACTATGAGGATTTCAGCTCCCAGCGTCTCCCCACGGTTTAAGCTTCAGGGTTTTGTGCTTAAGGCTTGCAATGCAGCAGAACCAAACAATTAGGCAGGTGAATATCCCAAACCAAACGCCAAAGTTTGGAAACAGAGCCATTAGCAGCACTTGGCCTGCTGGCACTGAAACTGGAGTGAAGGAGTGGATCCCCGTACTGATACGCATATGCCTCCCGGATTCATACTCCCATGGCAGTACATGTCACCACTCCGCCATCGTGGCTTCCAGGGTTGCAAAATGTCTGCTCTTGACGAGGACACTGGCCCCAACGTTGGCTGTATGAATTACACCGGAAAATTTAGCTCAAAGATGTCCAAAGGTAAGACTTGGTGGATCCCAAGCTGATCTTAGCCTGCAAACCCTGAGACCGGAAACCTTTAACTCAAGCCCACGACTTAACATCCCAAACTCTGAAGCCCCAAAGCCTTAACATGCACACCTGTTTATGGTAGCAAGCGAGCCCGCTGGCGCCTGTCTCCTCGATCGGCGACGCAGCGGGAGATCGCTGTCCGTCGCCTGAGCAGCGCTCGCATTTGAAGAGAAGAACCCCTAACTTGTATACAATGGGTTCCAGGCTTCGGGTTCTGGGTTCAGAATAAGGGGTACAAAACAAACAATGGTCTTCGAAGAAAAAATTGAGTGGGCACATCAGCATAAGCTGAAGCTTTCCTGTTGAGAAAGCTAAGAAAAACCCAAAGGTGGTACGCAAAAAAAACGTTTTACGAAAAAGAAAAAACTTGTCGTACTCACCTTAATCAACCTCATATACCTTTCCAGACGAAATAACCCCAAGGGGGTGACACTATCCTCTGAGGTCTCGGAGCTTGCATGGGTGAGGATGAAGCGTCTGAAGCTGGGCATTGGAGCTGTAGTGTCATGCAGTGGAATCCAAAGTCTAGAATGTGAGGGAACACTATTAGGAGCATCGGCTGCTGCGCCACACCGGCCCAGGGTCCAAAACCCACATTGCTCCAGCCAACAGACAGGTGACATTGGCCTACGTATCGAGCCTCTCAAACAGGAGGTAAGACTCTGAAACCCCTTCATAGTCTTGATTCGCAAGCTTCTGTCAGAAAGTCCTGATGATGCCAGTATTTAAGAATGCAAGGCGCATAGCAAGAACCAAGGCCGTTGTTCAGTGGGCCGCCTGCGGCCCTCGAGAAGTAATGTCCAACATGCCTAGATGCAAAGCCCACTCCGAACCTACTTGCACCTGACCCTCCGAAAGAAGAGTCCTGAGGCTTTCCAACACATGGCAAAAGCAGGTCTCCAGAGCCTGCCAGCACCCAATCCAAACCCCGAACCCTGAATGCAAAACCAAAAACAGCATGGCGCAAGTATCTGATGATGATGCTGAGAATACTGAAAATGAAGCAAAGAAAATGTGACAAATTCAAAAAAGTCTCCATCCATAGCGAGGTTACTTCCCCGGTAGTCAAGAATCAGTTTAGACTGCCATAGGCCTCTGCACAGCCCTGTCAACTCCTGCAAGCTCCTTTACTCTCCACCAACTTCAAGTGGAACCAAGAGAGACTCTATCGAGACTAATGTCCTTTCAACGGAAGCTTATGGGTTCCTGGGGTAGGTTGGGGGAGCATGGAAAAACATCAACATGTCTTTATAGGGGCTATATAACGGTCAAAGGTAATAACAAGTGCAAAACATGTTGAAACCTACCTGTCACGAGGCTGCCTGTTACTTCGGGGAGGATAAGCCCTGAGGGCGTCGCTCTCGCTAGGCGGAGAGGGTGCCGCAGGGGGCGGCAGAGGCGGAGGCGGCAACACCGCCCTGCAGCCCACAGGCTTTAAGTAAGAGCTTGAACTTGAAGAAAAAATAACAACTTATGATAATATGGAGTTCCTAAAAGTCGCCGAGCACCATGTGGATTTTCCAAGCATTGAATAAGTGGGTTCAGGTTTGTGGTGTGCTTTGGGTTGCGTTTGCCGTCCGGTGAGGTATGGAGCTTTGGGCCTTTGCCTTGGGTCACATGCTTCCGATTTGAAGTTTCGCCACTTTGGTTAGTTGGAACCTCTGGGCTAGGGATTCAGGGACTTTCACATGCGTCCACATCTTGCCCACGATTTTGGATCTGGCAGGCTCGGCCTGTAGGGCGACTCTTCCAAATGCTGCAATTACCGGCATCCTCACCGAGCCTGAATCCTATACCCTAAATCACTAAATCAAGACAGCGCCCGAACACTTATCACCCTTATGAAAACCTCTTTGATTCTGAGCCGAGTGACTGTGTCAGCATCTGTAGAGATGGCGCAGCAACGGCTGCAGAGGCCAAGCGCACGCGGGGTTGCTCACGATCCACCTTCCGGCAGAAGGGCCAGGTGTAAAAGAGCTGACTTTGCATTGAATGCAATGTGAAGGGCAAATGGGGGGCTCAGATGCGGGTTGCTGCGGCTTTTTATAAAGGCTCAAAGACGAACCTGCAGACCTTTTCCCAAATCTGAATGAACCAAATACCCTGCAGCTCTTGATCAGAAGCTGACACATGATTGAGGAAGTGCATATTAATGTCCACGGAAAGAGCTTGTCGAAGCCTCATAGTCTTCCGCAGCACCCCCTTCAGAGTCAATGCCATGTACCCCATGCACCCCCACAATAGAATCCTGAACAACCCTCATCTTAAAACGCTTTGCATGCGTTCCGAAGATCATAGGGGTGGGCTTCAGGTACCTTAAGGGTAGGATCTTGAATCCCAATACCGCAGGAACTACGCTCTTATATGGGTCATAAGTTGTACAAGATATCCTCCATCAGTCCATCGACCATAAGCCCTGGACCCTTACCCTTGAAACCCGCAGCCCTAGACCCGGAACCCTCAAAGCCTGAAATCCATGAAAAGACATGAAGCGGGACACTGAAAAAAGCTTGCAAGGGGCCTCTATCCACCTCCCGGCTCGCTGCAGGAGGTTGCGCAGCCTTGAAAAGGTGTGGGTTTGGGTTTTGGGCTTTGGGATTTAGGGATTTAGGATGGAGGGCTTAGGGTCGAGGAGTTTGGGGTTTGCGGTTTGGGGCTTGGTGCCTTGTATTCCTTGTTCCATACCAGGACTCTGTGTCGGTCTGAAGCTGATAGCACCTGAACCTGCAACTACCCTAAAGCTCATAACATTAACTCTTGATCCTAAGACCGCTGCTCCGAACCCAAAATCTTGATTCCAAGCTGACCCTTAACACATCCAAGCCCATAGCATTTGGATATACATAACTTGAAATCCTGTGCTCTGAGGTCTGGGCATGTCAAGGGACAGCGTGTGCTGCGGAGGCTTGAAGTTCGGCGCGCCCTGGAAGGCCCAGGAATTGCGGGATGCTGGGTTTGAAGCTTTGCCTCGTAAGGCTTCATAGATTTTTTGATTGTTCTAGTAATTGTGTAGGGGTCGAGCGCGTAAGGCTTCGGCTGGGGATAACAACTTATGGCCGTTGCTTTGGGTGCAGAGTTCACAGACTGATTGCTTGGATTTGGAATCTTCTACTGCTACATACTACTCAACACAACATGCAGCAGAAATAGGTGACCAGTACAAAAATTTGAGGCCAAAACCACAGGGTGCACAATGACTTGAACCCTACTGTACACATCAAAGCGATCTGCTCCGCCACCATTCCCCAGGATGAAAATTGGCGAAAGGAGCCTAAGGCCTTGTCTAAGCCTGAATTGAGTCGGGGAGGGAGTGGGGAATGTTGGAGTCTTGGGTTGCTTCGTGGGCCTCTCTAAGGACTCGTTTTGAAGAGCATGGTCCGACCGGGTTCATGCCTTTAGGCTGGAGAACTTGGGGGATGGGCAAGGCTATGACAGACTACAAAAGGGGTGCTTTAGTGGCAGCGGATCAGGGTCCTTGTATGTCTATCGCTGGCAATAAGAATGACACATAATGCTAGTTCCTATCTAACAATAATCTCTGCATAAAAAATCGAAGGTGCAGAACTCAAGCTATGGCAGTTGCAACCCCAGTAGCACATGCAAACAACAGTTCTGAATAGCTCCTTTGCTTATTATTACTATTATCACTACTCCACAAACATAACCCTAAATTCCCAGCCGCCACGCCTAAACTGCAAACCTTCAACGCAAACACTTAACCATTAGTGCTTGCACTCCAAAACTGAAATCACCCTCCTCAAAAAAGAAAAACGCTTTTCATCGGACAAGAAGGTTCAAGTACTACCCTTTCCTATGCCAACTAACCAGCATGGAAGCTGGAAATTAGCTCCTCAAAGACCTTAGCTCTGTCAAAAGACGTCTGCCAACCTTTCCATGCTTGTTGGACGGGCAGCTAATACGTTCTGCTGGGTTTCCATTTGTTTTACATGAGTAATGGAAATCTCTCATCGCATTATGCTCTCCGTTTTATTTCCACTATTCGACTTTTGCTGCCATTCGAGGGAACCCACCATCCACTTGGCCTCCCCAAGCCACTCCATGACTGCATCAGCCAGCTTCGAGGGGCCATCTATGGTCAACCAATCGCCTTCGCACAGTTCCGGCTCTCATGAGAAGAATGAATCTACGAACCCAATAACTACCTCAAGGCACGATCATCCTTATTCTAGGGACACCACAAGTTCAGAAAAAAAATACCCGTATGTATGCGTGTATATATATATATATATCTGAGCTACAGATATTTCCGGAACTATTCTAAACTACCAGAGGCACTCCTGTGTCAACTGTTAAGGGTCCATTAACACGGCTAAAAACTTCAACATGCGGATTAAAGAGCTGGAAGCAGAGTGAGAGCACGGCTTGTGCGGAACGAGGTGAGGCTTGTACGGACCAAGCTAGGTTCCTTCCCCTAAACCCTCAATGAAGCCCAAGCAAAAGCACAGCAACATCAATATCTACACCCAACGTGCATGCCCCCGGTCCTCGTCCAGCCACCCTCCTATCCCAGATCTTAAAGCTCCAAACTCGAGTCCGCAATCCAGAACCTGGAGTCCGCAAGCTCGACACCCTTGGATGCCGAAATGTATTCAGAAGCCCGGCTCACCTACGACCTCTGCCCTTACTGCGCATCCTGGAACACTGACTGTGGGCCCAAATGTCTGTCTGCTATATTCCAACGAGTCACCAGGCTGGTCGTCTGACTCGGCAGGCAGCGGGGGCAACAATGGCAGCAGCTTCGTCTGCTCGGGGTGATAGGAATTGGGAATTCCTTGCTTTTTGTTCAGTTGGGGCTTGGATAGATTTTAGATGCCACTGCCCCTCTCATCCTCCTATACTTCTCATGTAATCCCTCTGGAACTATCCCTGTATATCTGAGACGAACTTGAGGTCATACAAATCACGTCCCTGCTTGGGAATCACAAGAAGGACCTGATGCTGACAACTACCCATATCACGCCCTAAACTCTAAACCCCAAACTCCCAGAATCCATAACCTTGGGCCCTGGACTCGAAGCCCACAATCCTCTCATCCTTTCCCCTTGCCTTTCACTCCCTTAATGATCAGCCTTCCCAGCCAAATACCACGACTTGTTTTATGCAATGGGGACAATTTTTCTTACTGCGAAAAAAACCACGAGGCCCCGCCTTCAGCGGCAACAGCTTCGGAACGCCCGGCTGTGCCAAGATCGAGGCCACGCGAGCTGCGGCCTCTGAAGCAAAGGAGAGGATTTAGGGTTTAGAGTTTAGGCTCAGTTTCAAGGTGTAAGGTCATGTCGGGCTTAGGTTCCTTCAAAATTTGTTGAAAGTTTGCATAGGTCAGGGTTCTGCATAGCAGGGATGGAGGGCATGCAGGGCTGCCCAGGCAGCGCTAACAAACCGTCTCCAGACTGCCCGTGACATGGTTGATCAAATCAGGTCAAAGCTGGAAAAAGGCTGGCATCTTGCGCCTTCTGGAGGCTTCAGGGACAGTTTCATGGCGAAAGTCATTTTCTGGTTTAGCAAGTTTGAAATGGGATTGGGCTTTAGCGTTCAAAGTTTCAGATTTAGGTCTTGCCGTGTCTGACGTCTTCATCGTAAGAGGCACACCATAGCCTTTCTCCTTGAAACCAAACTCCCAGCCCCTGATCCTGCTTCCATAAATGCCGGCTAGCTGAATTTCTTAGTGGTGGTTATGACAAGGGTATCGCAGCATATACAGACATGTTTACATGTAGTTTTACATGAGCTCGGGTGAGGGTTAAGAAGGTACGGCAGACTTATGATTTGAGACGTGCGCCTGACAGAATGGACCAAAAATTTGTGTAGGGTCCCGGAGTTTACTTGCTACGCATCAGTGCTGGATGGAAAGCTATGTTCGGAAGGATCTTGCAGTTGCCCGTCTTGACGGGAAAGCCACAAGCTTCGGTCACTCAAGGCCCATCTCGAGCTAAACAATCCCTGCCTTAACCACAAATTCTCAAGCCTTGCAAACTCTACTGAAAAGGAGCCTGCCCACTCTTCGTACTGTGCACATGTAAAGAAAGAGCAAGACTCCAAATCAAAGCAAGAATACACAGGCCCTGCTAAACCCCAAGACCTTGACCGAGCACACTCACAAAAACTGCTGAGCTTTGCATTCAGGACTCACGGGGTGTTTTTGTGAAATTTTGGGAACAGCCTCATCACGAACCGGTCACGCTTATAGATTCGCCTCCTCAACTTATCTGCGAGATAGTTACATGTGTGACATGCCCACATTGTCCAAGGAAGATGCGAGGCTCATACAGGATTACCTCTGCACTAAAAAGTTAGGGTCTAGCGTTTTGCGAAGATGAAAGCTTGGACTCTAGCATAGAACTGTGTGCTTGCATCAGCACGCTTGTGCTGAAGCTAAATTTGCGCCAACATCCATAATACATCTGTCTATACTCAGCTTCCCTTTAACAACATTGAAGCTGCCATGTTTAAGATTTAGCCCGCAAGCGATCAATTCAAAAAAATGGTTTGCTCAAAGACAAAATCGCATCCTGGGAAACTTTTCACATGTAAAGAAGAAAACCCTTGCAAGAAACAACTCGAAACCTGGCAAGACCTTCGAGTTATTCTGATCCTGGAGGCTCGTTACCGCAGAAGTACACATGGTTCTATATGTCCACATATATTTCCCCAAATACCTGTGAAGAGGGTCCTTTTGAATCTGCGTATGTACCAAGATTCCCCTTGCTACGCCTTTGCAAAACTCCAAGACAAGGATCAGCCAAAGGAAATGGCAGGCCTCTTCATTGTACTTCTTCAGGCGTGATGCAAGCCAAATCCTAAGGCCACAGCACAACCGCCAGATCTAGGGATGCTCTAAATCAAACCCGTAGGCAAAGGTGATAAGGATCTCAGAGATAAAGCATCGGATAAAATTACCTCTGTCTGACGCATTCCGGAAGGAAAATTCAGGACAATCTTCGGAAATTACCAGGTACAGGGGCGTAGGTCAAGCGTTTCGGGTCTGGTGTTTTGAGTGATATTCAGGGTTGAAAGCTCAGGGCTTCAGCCCAAGTTCTACGGTGCATGAAGGGGAATGCAATGCACAAAGCTTTGACTCTTGCGGCACAGAAATACGGACATGACGAGCAAGCCTCTAGTATCTAGAAAGGTCATGTGTTCTGGGCGCAGGATTCGAACAAACCATCCTGACTGTAGTTTTGAGAAACAATTCAAGAAACGCGCAAGGGCTCCATGGCTACAGCAGCCGCCTTGACGTAGAAACCAACCAATGCGTCTTTGGACAACTGCCATTGTGCAAGCATTGCACGCCGGAAATATAGGATTGTGGGTTCAGGTCCAGGTGTGCTCATGTCATACGGTGCTGGCTGGCAGGGGCAAAGTGAGGCCGCCCACATCCGTGAGCGGCAGTCAGCCCAGCCCATGACCACTCTGACTTCAAACAGGTTGGGGCTTGGTTCCTAAAGTTTTGTGCTTGCAGTTCAGCAAGGCTGAAGGTAGCACGGGGCTTGCTTGCATGTCGTGGAATTGTCAGAAGTGTTGGCTTTCCGTGAGGCTGCTGTGCTGGAACAGTCAAAAGCCACGACATGAGGCCGAACAAGAATTGTCAGCTGTCGTGGCCCGACGTCTGGTGTGCACTGTATACTCTAGACGAGCGTTTGCAACGCTGGGTTGCTCAGAGGCTGTTCGATAGCTGCTTTCCCAGGCTAGTTTGCCAGGACACTTCCAAGGCTGCTTGAGGACAGCTCCTCATAGCAACAGTCACCACTTGACTGCCAGCTGCTTGTGGGGCTTCTAGGGTATGACCGCACTCCATGCTGGCTTTCTTAACGGGTTTTCGCTAAAGTGCTGTGCTGGGCTGCCCAGGCGGCCGCTTAGGAACGGACGTGCTTGAGATTGCTAGGCTGGGCGACCAACGCCAACGGTAGCAGTGTCGGGTTAAGGCCAGCTAATTCTTGGCGGGCCGCCAGTGTCCGATTGGTGATCCCATGTTATATGGACTGCTGCTTGGAACGGCCGCACTGGACGCTGGCGGCCACACTCACACATAATTAACCTGAAGGTTTTTCATCGGGCGTGACAACTCGAAAAAGCTTGGATTGCATGTTGGTCAGATTTGGCCTGGGAGAGGCCCCAAAAGGCTCAGATTTGGTTCCAAGGCCTGCCAGCCTTTGATGGGAGGCATCACTGCCCGAACCCCGCTTTTCTCTTCTGTGCTTGGAAGGTAACCTGAGATCTCAGGTTCAAGGCTTGGCCACGTGACGGTGTCACAGGTGCTCTGTGCCGCTCGCAAAGCTCCAAGAGCTGCGGGCTCCGCGTGGCATTTGTTGAGCCCTCAGCTAGCACTGTAGGGTCTGCAGTGTAAGGGCCTGGCCTCCCCAGCTTGTTGGGTAGTAGCAGTGGAGAGGAGATAGCTGCATCTGGGAAATCCTATTTTCGCCAGTTATTTGGAGGCAGGTGAATGATTACGCAACACGAGTTCGGAGGTTTAAAGAAATTAACCCTAAGGCCAAGTACTGGCCCTAAACCCCAACACCCTCAAACCTGTACGCTGATGACCCAAGCTCATGGCACCAGTCCCCTCAGCGCCCCGCTCCATGACCGCACCTTGGTTCTTCACGTAGAATAACCGCTGCTGCAGGTCATGGCCTCGAAGGCGCTGAGATGATGTGGGAGCTTCTCAAAAAGAACCTGAAGATTTAAAGGTTCCAGGTGGGTTCCAAGGTTTAGTGCTTACAAATGCTTGGTTTATACTTTTTTCTTTGGCTTCAACGCATCCAGAACACCCGGAGGTAAGTCTCAGGTGTCCGAGCGGTCTAAATTTTGAGGTGATATAGATCTTGCGGGTTTGGGGTTTAGGGCTTGCCCGGCGAAAGGAAACAGTTGGTTGAAGCTTTGAACCTGATTTCGGGTGGAAGTTTCAGTGGCTGAGGTTTGCAGCGGAGGGGGGGGGGGGGGGGCAAAANNAAAACTATACGCAGCCCGAGTTCAAGTGCCACCTGTAGTTGCCCGTCAGTTCCAAGAGCGGCTTTTGTGGGTCTAGGTTTTGAGAAGTAAACCTTAGTAGCCTTAGTGGTGGAGATTGAAAGCACACCTGACAGGTCATTCGCACCACACTGGAAATATGGTCTTGCAGCTTGCGCATAAACCCTTTGATCAAAGCTCCGAAGCGTGTACCCTGCCACACATGTTCAAAACACAATCTTAGGTAACAACTCAAAGCTAGCAAGGATGAACGTTCAAAATCAACTTCCAACCAAGCCTCAAATACATCGCCATGTGTGCTTTTTCTTGGGCTTGGGTCATGGGGTCACAAGAAAAAGATGTTGCTGGAGCAACTATATGGGAAATTGAAAGCGGGCCTTCAAAGCTACAACCCTGAACAAACTTCAACGCCCAAGACTCAAACCTGTAAGCCACTTGAAGGTTCGTGGGCAGTAAGCAGCGGGCCCACAAGCTCCTCAAGATGAGATCGAATTATCAATTTAATACCCCAGGAAAGTTGAGGCAGCTGAAAGAGCAGGCAGGGACCCACACTCAGCCGCTCCAGAACAGGCTCTGCTGAACCCATCCACCTCGCTGCTGAACGGGAATGACTTGACAAAGCAGTGACCATGTCAAAGGTAGTCATAATCACATGAACACAAGTACTGAGCACTGCGAGAGTGCGATGAGCCATGCGAATCTGAAGACTGGCCGAGGCCCCAAGCAAGCATTGCAGATAGGTAAACTGTCAGCTCTATAGAGGATTGCTATAGACTATAGACAAGCTTTGGGAGACTCCTACTTCTGGACAGCCCACCATAGGCTTCTGTAGCAACAATACACATGCTTACCCCCTAAACTCTTAACCCTCCTCATCGTAAGAAGGGGGTGTGTCTAGGAAGGGTTCTCATTCTGAGAACTCCCAAGGTAACTAAAGACGTCCAATTAATAAACACCCTATAGCTCAAAGGGTCTACTGCTTAGAGGACTCTCGAAACCCTCAACACAACAGATATTGTACAGGCAGTACCGCTAAGGATCAGTGGCACCTCAGACGCGTCTTCAGGCTTTGCATGCACAACGCCACGGCCATCAAGAACGCCTCATTGCTGCGAGCTCAAGTTCACATGCGTTCCAGGGCTTGTGGCTTGGCTTCTGCGCTCATGGTTTTTTGTGTGGGATTCGAAAACATCCCGCCTGTGTGTTGCAACTACTTGAAGTCTCAAGGTGGACATGCAGGGTGTGCATTGCGGGGTGTAGGACTTCAAAAACGCAGACATTCAGACGGAAGAAAAAAACTTGTGTACTACCTCTGCAAAGCTCAGCCGAGGGCGGCCCCCAGATTTTAGACATCTCTTAGACACAACCTGGCAGTTGACATTCAAATACCGGATTTACATAGGACCTTTATACTATCTCAAGCCCATCTAGACCCCGGAAGCATGACAGACATGTGGTAGTCGTTCGAAGTACCTGTCCCCGAAATGGCCATAATGTCGGTTCGCTGTTTGGTTAGGATCCCCTTTCAAAAAATGTATTCCCAATGGTCCCTCCCCTAAAATGACCTTTAGAACAACCCCCATGTGGATTTATCAGAAAGGGAGGCGCCTCCTTCTTTTCCGGCTGACGGGCAAAGGTGAAGAAGCGCCTCGGTGCAGCTTCTTTCGTAGTTGGAAAGGTCTGGATTGTGGGGTTGAAGGTTGTAGGTTCAGGGCTTCGGGTTCGAGGTTCAGGGCTCAGATTTTTGGGGTTGAGGTCATATGGGTCCAAGGCTTTGGGATATGGAGTTGCCAGCTTGGAGTTCAGCTGTCAGGGCTTCGGGGGTTCAAAGGGACAGGGGTCAGGGGCTTAGGTACCTTGTTCGAATTATTGAAAGTTGGGTTGTGTGTCGTGGAAGTTGAAGCGAAAAGGAGCACAAAGATAAGCACCTGGTATCACTACTAACAGACTAACATGCTCCTCCAGCAGCTTTGGGAGCGGCAGTCCTTTCTTGCGACGTATGCGACGTATGCTTGCAATTCAGAGACCGTACACGGCCCCAGTGAGAGCGGAAAGCGTATCTCGTAGAAAGACATTGCTTCAGCAAATCATCACGTCGGAGATTGTCTCAAAGTCTGGTTTTTTCTTGGGTGCCCAGTGCAAGACCTCATACTGTACTTACGCAACAATCCTGACAACACCCACATGCAGGTCCCCGGTCAGTCTTCTCTGCTTGTTGGATCGCGGTAGAAAGCTGAGGCCTTGCAACACCTTAAGCAACCACGCAAACCAACAGTCAGATACAGGGCAGGGAGTTCACGGATGAAGGGTAAGGTTTAGTGTGGTGTGTGGCCCAGTGATCCAGGCCTGCCGCCAAAAGAGGTGTCAAGAGTGCTAACGGCGATGACGTCTGCATTCGAAGCATTCCTATAACCCGATCGAGGCGTGCTTGAGACAGGTATGCTAGTCCTCTTGCTTCAAGTCCGCAATGCAAAGCAGCGTGCTATGTTATGTGCAAGTTGCTTGATGATGGTACCTGTCACACCCCTCGGCCATAAAGCCCGCAGCCTAGACACAGCAGAGGGTGCTCGGCTCTTGCAAGCGCATCTGCCAGAGCCAGCGGAGTGCTAGGAAAGCCTCGGCAGGCCAGGCAAGTGTCGCGTCACGGAAGGGTCTAACACCCCTCCACACAACCGCCTCCTAAATACTCCAATCAGGTCTATTGTCGTATGGAGGCGGTGCATGGGGTTGCGGGCGTGTCTTTGAGGATGCAAGTCAAAGCTTCCCACTAAGGCTTGGAGCCCAGTGTGAGGCCGGGAAGCACGGCGCACGAGCCAGCCACAGATTGAGCTCCTGCGAAGGCAAGGACTTCCAGTGCGTGGGCCATAGGGCGTATGATGGCGAGTCAAGAGCTGCTCATTGATTTTCCAAACCCAAACCCTTGTGAGCCACCTGATTCCGAAATCCAAGCCTCTGAAATAGCAGGACTCTCGGTGAGGGCATAGGAGCTAATACTGACCTCACAGCAAAGTCCAACTCTCCTGCTGGATGTGATTTCCTTCTTTGCTCCTATACAAAGCATGCTACCCTTACACAGCCGTCACATGCATACTCGTAAAAGCTAGCTTGCCACTTTAGGACCCATTGAACAAGTTGCGCAGCAACTACGTGCCTGACTTCTCAAAATTTCTGGACGCCTTTGATGATTGTATTTGTAGGACACCCATAAACTCTGACAAGGTCCGAGCCCAGGTGTCCTCTGTGCATGTGGCCATGATCGCTTCGATACGCTCCACCAACCTGATCTCAAGACTTTTTAAGGATTAGGGATTCAGGGTTTTTCGTTTGGGGTTTAGGGTTTGGCGTAATGAAATCCCCATGAATGGGCGGTCTGCGAGTGGTCCGTGATGAGGTGTTGTGTTTGTTTGGGCTGGTGCAACCCGAAAGAGTGCACCCTGATCAAACGGTTAATTGCACTGCAGAGGCACACAGGTGACTTGGTCTCAGCTCCGAGGCCCTCGAGGAGTTGCTTCTGCTGGGCCTGGCAAGTGCGGGTACAAATTTGCATGTTCAGGCTCGTCGGAATTATTGATGCTCGCAGCTTCGCTTCATGGTTTGGCCACGTATGAGTCAGGGCTTGGGGTTTAGAATTCTCACTGGGCAGGTTTTTTTTAGAGTCCAGGGTTTTGCGAGCGCCTACATTGGTGATCCCCAGGAGCAAACGGAAGCTCCGAACAGCTTTTTACCCTGACTTGGATGGCACACAGACTGGCAAAGCTGTCACGTAGCCCCCATAATCTGCATTCTCCGTCTTCTTCTACGAAGCAAACATCCGAGAAGCCCGTGAAATGCCTTGTCGTCACCAAGCTTGGAAAGAACTTCGATGCAAAGAAGCCTCAAGCCCCTCAACCTGATCTCGTACTCAAAGCCCTACTCGCGAGGTCAGCGGGACCTAGTAAGTAGTTGAAGAGTGGGGATATCTGGGTTATGAAGCATAGGGCTTAAAGAGGTTATTTACTGAATTCCTAAGTCGCCTGGCCCTCCAAGTAAACCTTGGAGATGATAGATGGTTAGGCCGCACAGGGCTCATCTGACCCCAAATTTGGGCTCTTTGAACATGAACTGGTGTGTGGGAGTCAGATGAAATGTGACAGACACATAAGGTATACTGCAAGGTTTGCACGTTTGGGACAGGATCTGCTTAAACAGAGCTGTATGTCTTTAGTTAACCCAAGCTACGCCACTCTGAAACCAAACCCTGACCTCTTCCATGTGAGGAAGCGCATGCTCTCCGAGGGAATCTGCCAGGGTCTCGCGCATTACTGGCTTCATCAAAGGGATCCTTGGAATTCAGACTCCGCGGTTGCAGTTGTAGCGGGTACTGCCAGCCGTAGTCATGCAGGGGGGAATTGTAGGAGGAGGGGGAGAAGACTACAACTCCAGCTCCTCGTAAACGCTACGAGGGTCAGCGATTTTGAGCTTCAGGAGAAGAAATACTTTTGGCTGAAGAAGTAGTTTGTAGCAGTTTGAGGATTTATGGATGATTACAGGAGGAACGAAGGCTTGAATCGTGGAAGTGGGTTCCTGTCAAAACCCAACCTTGAATTTCTGGTCCTGTGTACAACCTGGTCGTACTTCTTCCTCCTTATCGTTTCAGCATTGCACTCCACCAACGGCATGTTATTGATAGCTCAAGTCAACGCGAGGCCATCATCCCAACTTGTCCCCACAAAAACCCAGTCACCATCCCTTCGGGCTGAAACTGAAACGCGGACGCACGTAGATTTTGGGAATAGATACCTTGGTGATCGCGAGATGAACAACATTATGGCTTGGGCACAAATTCCTTGGTAAACGCACCCGCTGAAGGATGAGCAACATTGATTTGGGCATGCATGCTCTGGGGATCGCACCCACAAAAAGATGAACTTTCCCTGGCTTGGGCACAAATGCCCTGGTAAATCGGAACGTTATTTGGTTTGGGCATTTGGGCATGAAGCTGTGGTAAACGCACTCACTAAATCTGGTTTGGGCATAGATGCCCTGGTAACCGTGTGCACTTGGAACACAAACGCCATTTTGGTTTGGGCATGGATGCTCTGGTAAACGTATTCGCTCAAGGATGAACATCATTAAGGTTTGGGCGCAGATACTCACTGGCAAACGCACTCAAGTAACAGGAACGTCACTATGATTTGCGCGTGGATGTTCGGGTGATCACAGGAAAGGACGAATATTAGTATGCTTTGGGCATGGATAGCCTGGTCATCGTGTGCACATGGAAAACCGCCCATATTCTGTTTCGGGCATGGATGCTGTGGTAGACGCATTCGCTAAAGGATGAACAATAGTCTGGTTTCGGCGCGGCTACTCGGCCAAACGTACTCATGAAAAGAGGAGCGCTATTTGATTTGAGAATGCTTGCTCTGGTAGCTGCCCTCACTAGAGGATGAACACCATGATGGTTTCGGTATGGATGCCCTGACAAACGCACTCATTCATGCACAAACGACGGTTGACGCATCGGCGCGCAGTGGAAGTCTTGAAAGAGTGAATATAACCCAACGGCCCGATAGCACCGTGTGAGTTACTACTGATACTATTGCCATGAACTGCGAATGCTTGTTTTTCAACTGCTACAAGAAATCGCAACTGTAGCAAGAACAGCTTCAGCAGGAGGAGCGATAGCGGTAGGCTGTAGCACGCAGAAAGTGTAATCTTAGCAATAGTACTACCAGCAGCAGGAAAGCATCATCCACAATCTGGAGACGCCCCGGGTCGCACCCCAGTAGCTGCAATCTTAGCTGAAATTCAAGTCCAAGCATCAGCCGCTGAAAAGGCACCGATAAGCACTCCTGCCAAACCACTGCTCGCAATGCTAAGCAGTCAGATGTGGGCACTGTCAGAGATTCAGTGCCGGATTCTGGTCTTCTGGGACCCACATGCACCAGCTATGCTCTTGGCAAACCAGCAGAAACTTTGTACGTTGTGTGCGGGCGCAGTTTACACAAAGCATGTAGTCTTCGGGCATTGGTTGGAAGCTTGGAGCTTGACGCTTCTTGGCTCGTTCTTGGAGCTAGGAGCGTTGTTGAGTGATGGGGGAAAACTTGCGGTAGAGAACCAGGACTACTAAAATCCTCCTGTCATCATACCTAGGAAACCCCAAGAAGAGCATGATTGCAAACAGTCCCTTGATATCCTGCACAAACTTTCTACTTATCATCCTACGTAGCCCCTACACGTCACCTACTTCTGCCCTATGACCCCAGAAACAATCAGCGGGTGTTTCGAAAAGATGTACTTTTGACAGATTCATGAGACACACGCGCACTGGCCCCCTACACATCCAAAGACGCTAAGTTGGTGTCCCTGGAAACCCTCATCTCATACTACCCTACATTATGACTGCTTATGCTCACTCTTCCAAAAAATTGCAACCCCTACAGAAGCAAACAACCCTTGCGGGACCTTACATACTGCATCATCCGCATCATCCCCAACTTCTTCCAATCCTTACACAATTGACAAAGCCCAAATGGTTCTCCTACAGCCCCACCATTCCCTCTGTTTATGGGCACAGGTACCAGAATGTTTCCGGCATCTAACCTGCCGAAAACACGAACGTCAAAGTAGGGAGCTAAAAAGGTTCCAATATTCCGAAAATTCTGTGTTGCTGCGCTGCGAAACTCCAAGCTGAAGCTCTAAACCCTAGGCCCCCAAACCCCCAAACCCCCAAACCTCCAAACCTCCAAGCCTTGACCATCAACCTAAAACCCTATAGTAGTTTCCATTTCCTTTTCCATTATTTCTATATAACCCCAAGATAAAAGTTCAATGTATTTATCTAACCTTTATATATACACCCTATATGATAAAGGAGTTTCTATGTTCTTTTCCATTATCCCTATATAATCCCTATTAACACCCCATTATAGCCCCTAGATAAACCCTAACATAAACCCGATACACTTGAGTAGCTTCCATCTTATTTGTTCATTTATCCATGTATGATCCCTATATAATCCCAATATAACCCCAACATAATCCCCAATAAAAGTATAACCCCTAATATAAACCCTATATAGTCCCTATAGTTTCTAGTATATTTTCCAGTAGTTATACCTACACCTGGCCTCCGCCACCTCGGCTGCAGTGGCGCGTGCGATCGAGGCCGAGGCGCCCACGAGCCGATCCAGCAAGTAGTCCAGCCAGGCCTGCACCTTCTCCTCCGTATGGGGGCTATATTGAGCTACATTTGGGGCTATTTTAGGGTTAGACTAGGGTTATTCTAGGGGCCATACTGGGATAATGCGTCTATGGGGATAGTTATCTTCCGCAGGCTCAGCAGGAAGGTTCAGGTGGAGTTCAAGGTTCAAGGTTTAGGGATTGGGGTTTGGGGTTTCGGGTGTAAAGTGAAGCCTTTGAGCTTGGGTTCAGGGCAGCGAGTCTGAAAGTCTTGGAATTTAGTTTCGGTCAGGACCTGTAGAATGGTTATAGTATGAGGCCTGTTAAATGGATTCACACCACCACCAGCACCACCGCGACCACCGGCACCACCACCACCACCAACCCTTCTACACCGCCACCACCACCACCACCACCACCACCACCACCACCACCACCACCCTCCTACAACACCAGCGCATCTAAACAAATTCAAATACTTACCTTCAGAAGGGCAGCAGACTTCTTGCTGATGTGCTTAGAGTCGTAGCTTGATGTTGCAGAGCTATACTTACAAGTCATTTCAACGGCTGCAAGATTGGCTGATTCGAGTTCGCAATCATGTAGGATGAGCTTCAAGCACTGAGCGCAGCATGTCACCATGTGGGCTTTGGGTTAGGCTTATGCAAACTGAGGGATCGCAGGCTTTAGAGACATGAGGGGTGGCTCTGGGGGCTGTCCTGTGTTGTGGGCGAATCCTTGCCATGCTGCAGAAGTGCACAGAGACCTTAGTTCACAAACCCCATGGGCTATACCAGGAGTTGGCCTGATACTTGAAGAAGATCCGCTTTTGGGGCTTAATGCTTTCGGGTGGGGTTTGGGGGTTGAGGGCTCAGGGATACCCTCAACTGTAGTGTCGTGTGGCTTCTACATTGAACAAGTACATCCATCCATCCATCCATCCATCCATCCATCCATCCATCCATCCATCCATCCATCCATCCATCCATCCATCCATCCGTCCACGCATGCTTGCATGCATGCATGCATCCATGCATCCATGCATACATGCATACATGCATACACGCATACATCCATATACGCATACATGCATACATGCATACAGGCATGCATGCATACATGCCTATATACACTCGAATACCTCATACTACACCATGCTACAGAACATTACATACAAATATAAACATGAACGCACACAGGCGAAAAGCATTATCATTCTCAAAGTAAAGTGATTTCATTAGTTGGTCTTGAGACGTGGTTTCGTGCGGCTCGACTTAAGCACTGCAGGGCTGCCTTCCAGGATGAAGGGTGTAAAGTTGTGAGCCGGGCAAATCCTCTAAACTCCTTCTTTCTCACAACCCATCCCGATAGTGTAGGTACTTTCTCGACAACATGAGAGCCGCACGACAACAGAAGATACCAATGTGGGCACTGCAGCCCTTCGCACCAAGCAGACCAAAATCCCGAACCTGGACCCTGACTCCTTTGTAGAGCTACGGGTTGAACGCTGAACCCTTGCAGCCTGCCACCAAGGTGCAGCCCAATGGGAACTGTTGCGTCTTGGGATCGAACTTGTAAAGGTTCTTTTCGATGCCCCGCACAAACTCTTCCTGCAAGCCCAAGTATTGTAAGGGCTCCCAAAGAAACACTTGTCCAACAAGGAACCGCCCAAATAACACTGCAACCATGACTAGTAGACTCAAGATGCTGTTTTCTCTTCATACTTTGCTGCTTCATGTTGGAAAAGCACAACTTTAGAATGACCCGGCGACTCCACTTGCAAACAGACCCATCTCCGAAGTCTCAAATCCTTCCACGGGAATGGATCAAGCAGCTCCTGAGAAAGTTGACACTTGAGTTCAACACTTTGCTCTCATCAGAAAGGGATCTAGCCTGCTTTGCAAGTTCCCGCAGGTACAAAGAGGCAGACCTTCCAAAACAAAACATGCCTTAACAAGATAGATATGCTTCAGGTTTCGACCCTGGTGTAGCGCTTCTTATAGCCTTCCACTGGACCTGAGACAGGCAGAGCTTCTGCAGTTTGGGAACCAACCACCACAAATTGCGAACTTGCTTCAAACCATCATGTTGGGTCTATGCATCAGAAGGATCGCAGTGACAATATTCAGCCCGGCGCACAATCCAAACACCATCGGGCGCACAATCCAAACACCCTGAGCCACAAACCCTCTCCCTGCCACCTTCTTCTGCTCATCGACCAGGGCTAAAGTTTTCTGAAAAGGAGCAGAGAAGAACTCCTGCAAAATCGCAACTCACACCGCTTAAGGCGCATGCTTTGGTTCTGACTTCTTGCGGAGTTGTCATGCCAAGATCCCCACTTCGGCACGAATATTACTTGGAAAAGAAACTGCGACATCTCAATGTACAAGTCCCTACTGAAAGGTTCATGGCTAAGTTTACCTGCAGCTCCCCTCATTGACCAACAACGTCAATCATAAGTCTGAATTGGTTTGCAGCGCCGAGTGAAGCTACCACAGGCCTCTCGGGATTTCACTAATCTGCGCAATGGTTAGCCTCCCTAAACCCTGACCCTTTGAATCAAAGAGCCAGGCAGGAGGCATGGTTAGGGGTTGCCGTCAGATGGGGCTCAGAGCTTTCGGCTTGGGGTGCAAGGTTCAGGCCTTAGGGCCTTAAGGGCCTTAAGGGCCTTTTTAGGACTGCCATGCGCTTCCGACTGTTTTGCTGTACATTGGAAAATATTGCGCTCCGNNCGTAGGCGCAGTTGCCAGGTACTCACCAAACTTCGGGTCTCTTTCGAGTAATTGTTTGAGTCCTAGGAAATCCCGTCTACCCATTATGGCGTGGTAGTCAAGATAGTGATTAAGGAATCTGACAGCTTCTTTAGACACAATCTCGAACCAATATCTAGCGGGGTGTCCGCTTGATTTAGATTTAGTGAATTTGACTCTATCCTTGTATCCAGGCGAGAAAACTACATGGTGGAAAGGTTCGTTGGGCGGAGTAGTCACACCTTAAGGGCCTTAGGGCTTAGGGCTCAGGAATGTGGATTTAGATACCTTCACACCTTCACGCAACCCTTAAAGCGGATCCCTGTGGACTGGTGATGAAGAAACACGAGGTTATAGCTTTTATGTTTTTTTCTTCCACATCTTGCTTTTCAGGGGTGCGCGCCTTGAGATACTGTTGATGTCTCTACTGTTTTTCGCAGTTGATGCTACTTCCTGCAACACCTCGCCAAAAAATTCTGCAACAGTTGGATGGATGATCCTCGGGAAGTAGAGCTCCCTGGACCTCAACACTCTGCGTCCGTTTCTTTTCAAGGATCTCCATCATGCACTTTCATAATCAAAAGAAACCCTAGACCCTAGATTGCCTAGATATATCTTTACACCGCTGCGACCGCAACTGCTACATGAAAGTACTTCCTATACCCGGGTTAGTCCCTAAACCCCCCCTCGCAAGCCGGGAAAAAACTTAATCCCTTGCCCTTGACCCCAACTCTGAGGAAACTCAACTACAGGCTGCTGTCCCTGAAGAGTTGACGATGCGTCTGCGTCGCGCCCTGTCCTTACTAAAGGTGCTAGGGACTAGGAAGTGGGAGGTTAAAGAATCAGCTTAAGGGTGTGTGGAATAGCCTTGGGATTTGGTATTGAGGCATACGACTGGCAAGTTACAACTGGCCAGATGTGCAGGGCCGTTGATCGCGGATGGTGGGCCCATGCTGCTCTCAAATGCTGACCCATAGGGTTGTCCTCTACTATACCCCACCAATGACATCTTAGAAGCTCAGGGATTCTTAGGGCTGAGTTGTCGCAAACAAACCCAAGTCACGCAACAATATGACAAGCTGGGCACCAGGATCAGGCGTTGATTCGTACTTCCAAACACCGAAGCCCCTTAACCGCTCCGAACCTGGCCTAAGCCCTACAGCCCTGAAAGTTTAAACGCAAAACCCCGACATGCCAGACCTGAAGGCTGTCGACACCCGGACCCAAGCGGCTGAAGACGAAGCTTCTCGCTTGGGTCGTGGTAATGGAGGCCCGTCCCACTTACAAAGGCTTGAAGCCCATATGGTCCTACCTGTTGGGGCCTGTTTTTTGCATTCCGTGTCATGCATTGCTGGCTTCCCATGGAGCAGACGACTCATGGCGGACGTAGTCGCTGATATTGCTTCATGGTTACAGCGGGCACTTTGAGATTGAAGGTTTAAGGCGCAGCTCGGCTGAAAATGATCTCAGAATTCTCGGAACAGCACGCTTTCAGTGTTCCTGACAATGATAGGCGTCTCCCGAAGCTTTCACAGGCCTATCTAAACAAGTGCCTTTACACAGGTCTCAGACAAGAGGCGTTCTCCAACCCAGGACCATTCCTCAGGATCTGGGGCATGTTGCTATATCCGCACGCTTGGGCAATCGTGTTTTTTCAAGCCACTTCACTTCTTTCTGCTCGAAGTCTTGGGGTAATGAACGCAAAGGCCATGAATCGATCATGCGTAGACTTCGGTGGTGGAGAGAGAGAAAAGGCTGAGGATGTGTCTTTGAGAGAGGGGATTGGGGATCACATGCTTCAGTGGAAATCTTGGCTGCTCATGAACTCATGAGCAGCAAAAGCTGCTCATTGCCAACTTCATGTTGTTCAAGTATTTGGGGTGGTGGGTACTGTGGCTACTAGCAGCAACATGTAGACTGGAGTGGACCGATGTGTTAAATCTACTCTCCTTGCAAGAAAATCTGTGGCAAGCTGCCGTCAGGGTCTCTAACTTCGTGGACAGGGACTTCAGCCAACTTCTCGCGAAGTGGTGGTCCATGCCGGGCCACAACGAGCATGCTTCCAATAGGTTTGGGGAGGACTCGGTGGTGGGGCTTATGGTAGAGGGTTCAGGGCTGAGGTTCCTAGGCTCATGGCTGATCGTGGACCCACAGGCGCTTGTGAGGGCTGTGGCACTGATTGTTTGCTGAAGTTAGTGGGCGCCAGGTTGGCTACAGAAGTTGCCTTGCAATCATGACCCATATACCGCTGACAATGACAGAAGCTAACAAATGGGAAGCCCGTAATCACTTTCGAAAATCACGCACACCAGGGAACAACGTTTCTCCTGGCGGAGTGATTGTCATGGCTATCTACGATGCCTCATGATTGGACAACGTCTGTTTTCTTCGAGCCCGATGGGCTGCCGAAATGAAGCGCAAAGCTTGGTGATCTTAGGGTTTCTGGCGTACCGAATAGGGCTAAGGCCTTGGGTTCTGGGCTTAGGGTCTAGGACATCGCCTCTTAGGCCTCGGGCAGGGATTAATATGAACAGTGGTGCGGTAGAGGGAACAATCCCTCTTGGCTGATACTAAGCCCCAGCACAACCTAGCATCAAACATGTGCCTGTCTCATCGAGTACTGTATGAAACATCATCACGACCTTAATGGGTCAAGGCAAGTTGAAATAAGACCCATGCTTGCCTGGTCCCGACAAAGCCTCAATCAGAAGGTAGAAGCTAAAGTATTGGAAAAGGTCATACAGAATTGCCCGAACTGAGAAGCTCATGACTCAGAAGCCTGACCTTGGTAAACAGACCTACACATTGAGCGTGGATTTGCCATGATAGCAAGGATCCATGATAGAATTAGTGGAGCAATAGAGGCGCGATAAGGTTGGCGGCGCTTTAAACAAGATTCTCGGCGCGCGAAACGATGAAGCCTCCCACGAATTATCTGACGTCTTAAGCCCCCAAGTTGCGAGAAAGGCGACAACAAAAGCCGAGGGTTGAGGGATTAGGGTAACAAAGATTGTGCACAACGCAAGTGACCTCTCTAGGCTCTAACGCACCGGGCCCTGAGCCTTAGAACCATGTACGCGCACATCAGCAAACGCTACCCTCCCCAAACGAAAAAGGAACCCTACAAAGGGCCCTATCAAGACTACAGTCCTTTTGAAGAAGGGCTATATGGTGCTCCACGTTTTTCTGGCGGACCGTACACCCCCAAGTCATGTCTCTCGACCACATTCCTTGGCCTTGGCTGTACATACAGGGGAACAAGCATGTGCAAGATAATTCAATTTGATTCTTATCCCTAATCAGGACCCTGCTAAGCCCCCCTTGAAATAGGGTTGCTAAGGGTCAGGGGCATGATTAGGGTAAACCTTTCATCCTCAAGCATGGAATATCCCTGGATCCGTCATCTTACAACTTTAGACACCAGACCCACCCTCAGGCTGCCGAAAATTGACCCACTCCACCTCCAAGCGGGTGGTGAGCTGGGCACAGGCGGTCGTCGCAGCCTTGGCCTCTCTGCCCCTTAAATCCGAGGATTTTTAGGCGGCTTTTGAAGGGATGCGATTGGCTCAAAAGAGCTATTGCGCGATGTTCAAGGACATTTAGGGTACATAGGGACGTTCACGGCTCAGAATTTCGGACTTGAATTTTGCTCATAGGAGTACCATACAAGGTGCAGGCATGAGGCCATACTGTACGGGGTTTGAGCTTTGGAGTTCCTCAATGCTTTGGATCGTTCGCTGGGGTCTTGGGGGGATCTTGCTCTTTTGAAAGTAAACTTGCAAAAAGCAGTGATTGTGATAGATACATGTCTGTGAATAGTCATGAATTTTGCAAGCTAGATGTAGCTGAAACTCACCTGAGAAAAGATTGCCATAGACCCTCCATAGCCATCCTCTGAATTCGGAGATATCAAGTACCAACATAACGAACAGAACATTGCACCTCTTGCAGGGATGCCCCCGCAAGAGCTAGCACTCCCTGTTCTGACGACCTTGACACAGGACGGCTTGTTTCCCAAATACTGGAGTCGTTAAGCTGAGTAGCCTCGTAGGTTGTTGGGTTCAAGTTTCCTGCTCCAGATTAAAGAATCAACTTCAAGGCTTGGGCACCCAAAATATCGCAGATAGAAACCCTGCAAAGATGCCCGCTCGGCCCTGTCGGCAGGATCTTCTGGAGCTTCAGATTCCGCAGCAGAAATGCTATGCACTGGTTGACTCTTGAGGAGCAGAAACAGGACTTTGGGGAAAGAGCTTTATTCATCTTCAGGCTTGTCAAATTTCAGCAACAAGCCCCAACTTTGCCCTCCTGCAAAATCATGCTCAGGCAGGTTTCAAAAGCCTTCCAAGACATGGCAATGCAACAAACAAAGCACAACAAAGGTAAGACCTCAGAACTGCATGCAACCCTTCAACCCAAACCACAGAACTCTACATGCTAACCCAAATAACCGATCATGACCCCTACACGCCAGACCACTGGGAGGAAAAAATCGTATTTTCGGCGCTGTCATTCTAGGCTGCACTGTACAATGCTCAACATCACGCCGACGAGAAGCAACTTGTACCAGAAGCAACTCTTGGACTGGCACACTACACTGGTCATTGCAATTCAGGACCCTATAGAGGCCAAACCAAACTGAAAATGATTTCGGGGGTTCAGGTAGGGTGACAGCCAACAGATTGGCGCTGGGCTTTGAGAGTGCTTGCTGGGCTTTGGAGTGAGGGACTTGGAGCTCGAGACCCTAAACGCTGAACCCACATCTCAGTGAAAGTTTGGGTGGGTGCAATAAGAAAAGCTAAGCTGAAAATGGATACGTCTAAAGCCAAAAAAGGGCTCAGCACTAAAACCAAGATGATGCAAATTCCTTGGATAGCAGGATTGTCTTTGGGTTACTTTGGGTGTATTCTATGTCGGGGTAGCCTGCTTAGTCAATGGGTGGCTGAAATGGGCCAACACAATTGAGATGACCACAAAATTGCTTCCCAATTCAGGGGAAGCAGGCACACAGCGACTTAGGCCTTCCCGTTAACCTTCAAGTGATGTTGAGTAATTAGCACAGGCCAAACAAGGCAGCCCGCAAGCTGCTTCTTTGATTGTTTAAGCTGGAAGTTTCTCAAAATGAGCTGCCTCAACGGTTTCGTGTTGAGGGGTTTAGGGGGAAGGGTGTATGGTTTAGGGTTTGGCAAGACGGCTGTGCAACCTGAGTCTGAACAGGGAGACTTCAGGGGAATCATGTCAGTCAGAAATGGTTTCGGGAGACCTTTGCCGCGTCGTAGAAGGCGACTCCTAAGCTAGGTTAAGAAACCGCAAGCGATAACAGCTGATATCCTATAGTTAAATATACTCACTCGCATAATATTCATAATATTCCTTTCTGAGGGTATTAGTTGGTGCTAGATATCCTTCACCGCAGTATGGAGCCTGGAGGTAAGCAAGCATGATAAGGGGACTTTGGGGGATTCCGGTGGGGAATGTGTGAGTAGTGTTAAAACGCTTTCTGAGAAACTCCCGCATCATGATCCTCGGACGCGCTAGGAGGACGTTCCGAGCAAGTCACTCAAGACCTCGGGCGAGAGGGTGGAGGATTTCCTCACAAAATGCCACCTACTTGCAGGTTAAGAACGATGTTGGTGATCCACAAGCAAGCCCTCCATTTTGATAATCATCCATAGAACCCCCTGAAAGGACGGAAGGAAAATCGATGAATCTTGACAGCATTCTTCATAAATCCACATCGTGTTTGTCAGGTTTAGCATCAAGTTGGACGCGGATGTTCTGCGGAAATACTACAAAATTCACACGGACATCACTACTGAAAAAAGTGAGATGTTGAGCTTCTTCTTCTGGGATCAATGTTTCAGAGGGTTGCGGCCCGTCACTGCAGCTTCGGATGATTGCTGTTGGTTCAGGGATTACGAACGGTTCAGGGCTGGAAGCCTGTGACAAGGACCTGGCTGGCAGCGAGAATGTCAGAGTTCTACTTCGAGGCTTGAGATTTGGGTATTTGAGCTTGTGCTGAAAGCTGCACAACAGAGACGCCTGTAGAATCTTTGCAAACTCTCGAAAACAAACGGACATAATCTTGGAAAACTTACCCATGCTGGTAAGGACATCATGCTTGGGACCAGAATCTCGAGCTAGAGCCCACTGCCAAACCACTCAGCAAAATATATATATATATATAT